AGTGTCGGCTCACGCTCCTTCTAATTAATCTGTGCTGTCTGTTGAATTGTTTCTGGTCAGTTCAGCTCCAGCACTTTGTCACACGTGAATTGAAGAACTTGATTTTGAGATCCTAGATGTACCTGATTGTATGTACATACCTACATACTTACATATAGACTAGGTTTGGACTAGTTTTGACAACATGTGTATGCACAACATGTATACCAGAACTACCAAACAGAAAAATTAATTGAAAATCTGTATTTGGAGGTTAAACATTAACACTCCTATGATTGTTTCAAGTGGGAAGGATCATTGCTGCCTTGTATTTTGGATGTTTAGTTATCCTACTGTCCTTGGAAGGATTCCCTTTCCCAGTTTTAATTGAGCTCAAAGATTTGTGATCAGAATCATTTTCAAGGGGTAGATGATGGAAACGTATGAATTCATAGAGCTGTGGCCAGGTGAAGAAGCTGATGTGAAGATCTCTATCCATTCAACTCTTCTCTTCATGATCTTGTTGATTTTTTACAGGGTGATGCCCAGCAAATGGGCAGCTGGTAATTATTTCAGGCTTTAAAACGTATCTGGATGAAGCATCACCTGTATTTTCTTCTGAAGGATTCCTGTAGAGTTCAAATCAAGCAGTCCAATGCTTTCAGTGACTGTTCTCTGTTTTTAAGAGACCCCAACGCACCAGTTTGTACATCTCACTCACTCAGTGGGCAGCTGGCCCCGTGTGCTGTACCTGCTTCCAGGACAGCCATTTTCTTTGCTTTTTGTCAACAGCCTTCACTGAAATTGATCTGTGATGTGTTATGGTCCTGTAAAGGGCTATGGCAGCGTGCAGAATGGTTTGAGTACAAAATGAAACTCACTGAGGGGTTTGAGCTGTGTGTGGCTGTTTGCCACAGACCTTACTTGTGCCTTCCGTTCGGTTCCAGTAAGCCACTGCTGTCGTGCCTGAGACTTGGCTCATATTCCCAGGTAAGAAGCAGAGCCTCCTGACCCGCTCGTGTTGGCGGTGTGCTGAAGGTACCTGGGTGCCTGCTGGAGGAGAAGCTGGGTGAAGGGGAGCTGTGATTAAAGTTAACCATTCCAGATGCTTTAATGACTGCTTCTGTCCCGGGTGACAGATGGAAAAGGGCGCTGTGGAGATACGGGATGTGTCACAGCGTCTGTTGTGGCTGGGGACAATATAATGGTCAGGGACAATATCACCTGCTTTCTCCTTTGATCTCAATTTTTAATGACAATTCCATTGGACAAAAAGCATGTAGTCAGAATGCTCTTGAACATAACATTCTCATATTCCATTAGATTGCTCAACAGCTTTCGAGCTGTGCCAACAGTTCTGCCCTTCCTCTCCAAAAGGCTCCAAACTGCAGCCATTGGGCTATGCCATTCCCTCCCATTATCCTGCTGGCCTGATGTGGAGACGTCAGCAGCCCTGGGGTGGCAGGAATGAATGCTTGGAGAAGTGTCCCAGGCCTTGCTGTGAGTTGGGCTGCAGGTGGCTGTGGCCAGGAGAGCCTTCCTCCACCCACAGGTCCCCCAGACCATCGCCCTGTGCGGGCATTTCGTGCTAGTTAAGCTCTGCCTTTCACTTCATCATTAGTCACATTCTTGAGACCTTTACATACATTAAAAGGCAAAATTGCTTTCTGGCTTCCTTTCCCTTTCTCCTTCTGGGTAATGATTACCCTTTCCTAGTTAGCACGTTGCTTATACTGCCTTTTTGCTTCTTGCTTTTTTCTTTTTTGTCCTGAATGGAAATGGCAAAGACATCTGTGTGTTTGATGAACAGATATTGTTATTATTCCGTGCTTTACATGTTTTTTTTCCCACTTTTAATTCATGTGCATTGCGTTTAGATGTTGTCAGACCTACACAATTATCAAAGATCAAGATTTTTGTTGTGCTACTTTCTATTTCAAGACCCTAATGGATCATTTTAGTAATTGGCTTTAGACTGTAACTAATGGGTATTGGTGAGAGGTCCATAAGAATATACAAATTGATAGGAAATGGAACATGAGCTGTTATTTAAGCTTAGAGTGTTTTCTGTTCCTGTTTGTGCCTCAGGTAAAACAGCCCAACAGGCAGATGATGACCCCAAACAGCACAGCACCAGGCCTTTACATTAAGAAGGCTGTGCTGCTTGGAGGCTGCAAACCATCTGATTATTTTCTTCTCCAGATTATTTTCTTTTTGGAAATTCTCCTCCAGTTTTGTCCTGCATAAAAGCAGGAGGGTAAAACTGCTGTGTCAGTCTCATAGAAATCATGTGTGTTTCATTGTTAGCTGTGAGCATTTTCTTACGGCCAGTGCATCAGCTGGATAGTAACAAAAACAAGTCCTGGTTTCTGCATTATCTGTAGCAGAATGATGATGCTGGGTTCGGAGCAAGCTGCCAAACATCTCTCCTGTTTGCTCAGTAAGCAAAGCTCCCTTCCTGCTTGCATTTTCCCACTGTATCCATTTGCACGTTGCTCACACGTTCAGGGTTTGGGAGCAGGTAGAGCTGCAGCAGGTCAGAGCGTTGCTCCTGCCACAGCACTGTGTGCAGAATGATGGCAGCAGTGAGGATCTGCCACATCAGGACTATCCTTGTAACGGTCAATCCTTTAAGATGACCAATGTCTGGAAAGGTAGGAGTTGAAATCAAATAACGCTGGATAGGTTTCAGCATTTCCCTGTTACTGATTCACATTACAAACTCTTCTGGTTTTGTTTTTCCTAAAGAAAAAAAAGTGTTTTTCTATCAGTTTTGATTTTGCCAGCCTCAACTCCCTTCCGTTTGCTCTGGTCTGGTGTGAAAGAGGAGCTCTCAGTCTCTTTGGTGCTTTTTTCTTTGGTTTGGCAGTTTGTTTTGCATTGTGTGCTCCTCTGTGGTGTTCTGTAATAGAAATAACTTCTTTGTCTGCTCTTTCTTTGGCAATTTTTTTTTAATTTCCTAACTCTTCAGTGAAGAAGGGATGACTTGAAAGCAATGCAGGCGTTCTGGTGCTAAACAAACATGTCACAGTCTTTTTCATAACCTGATGAAGCTCTGTTATAGATGTGGGTCAGGCTTCTTTGTTGCCTTCTCCTTGCTGAGATGCTAGGTTGCTCTGAAAGTAATGCCTCCTATTTATTTCCTTGGAAACTACAACAGGTACAAAGAGCACAATACCTCTGCTTGATGGAGCAGGTCCTTGGCTGCCAAGCACAGCACAGCCACCACCATTAGCTGTACATTCTTGCCACTGATGAACAAGATCCTGCATGCCATGCTCCGGTGCTGAGACACATTGCTCATAGGAAACTGAAGGATGGATTTCTGCTCAGCTTTCAAAATCATACACGGGCTTATTAATTGGTGCTTATTTGCTGAGTCCTTTGGGTATGATGTTGGTTTTGGTTATTAAACTGGGATTTTACTGAGTAGAACTGCATGGATAGAAACTTGAAGCTGGGGAAATGACGTCTTGCTGAGGAGATCTGTATTTAACACAGCTACAGTTGGTATTCTGTTCTGAAGTGCAGTGCGTGCTTGTAGTAATATTGTTCTCAAAATATGAGCAGGGTCGTCCTTTATTGCCCCTGCTGTGATGGCAATTAGCCACAAGGCTTTGAGTCATCTGCAGGAAGAACCTGGACGCTGACCTTGTCTGTGGGGGCAGGGGAAGATGTAACAGTGCCACATGGCAGCAAACGAGCTCACAGAGTTTGGGGATCATTCAGATTTCTGTGCACAGAACAGAGGGCAGTTGTGTGCCTGTAGGAAACTGTGATTTTTATTGGCAAGTGGAAAATCTTGTAAATTACCAACTCGACTGTTTCTGTTAAACAGATTTCTTATCCTACTTCCCCTCTGCAAGTCTGCTTTGTGATTTCAATTTCTGGCAGCACGTGGAGCCAGGACAGCTAAGGAGGGCTGTGTGTGTGCTGCAGACAGCAGGCACTTGGGGCTGCCTGCTGGGAGGGCTGCTGCATGGCACTGCTGCTTTGGTGTTTATCCCATGCAAAGACAAAGCATTGGTGTACAGTACGTGCAAATGAATCCCTGCCACGCTGGGGTTTGTTAGGCTTTTGTAGACGTGTTTAATTTAAGTCGTGCATCAGAAGTAGGCTGAAGACTTCAAGAAATAAAATCTATCGCCTCCATCAAAGTGACTGTTTCAAACCTGGTGGCTGAAAGAAGAGCTGAATTTCCTCTGCCGTTCAACCTTTATAAAAGCAAAACATTCATGCCAAAGGTGCCATGGATCACATCACCTGCTCCTGTAGCTGCTGCTGGCTGGAAGCTTGTGAAGTGTTTGCCCCCTTGCTACAAGTAGGGCCACCAGCCTCCACATTTAATAGTAGTCCAGGCTGCCAGGGCCCCATCCAACCTGGCCTTGAGCACCTCCAGGGATGGACGGGGCATCCACAGCCTCTCAGAAGAAAAGTTGGGGTAGCAATATCTGCCTCCAGGAGCTGAGCAGCGGCACCAAAAGTTCCTGCGTGCCTTGTTTTCAGTGTTGAGCAGAAACCTCCCAAACTTTTGAGATGCTTAGGGAAATAATCAACTTCTGAACTGCGTGACAAATGGGGTTTGTGTATAGATTTAACTGTGAAAACGTTTGAGTGGCTTCGAAATGAGAGGGATGGCAAGCACATTGGACACAGTGAAACATCACTTGGAGTAATTAGCATAGTGGGTACACAGCCAACAGCATTGCTCCACAGCCCACAGTGCAGAGAAATACCTTGAGGAAAGGAAGGCATCAAAACAGATAGCAGAGCAAGTGTGAACAACCTGCCATATTAATCCCGTTAGGAGCCGACGGGAGCTGTGTGCAGTGGGGTCATGGCGGTGAGGCCAGGCTGGGCTGCTGCGCTGCTGCTTAGCTAGAAGCGTTCAGCTTGGAGTCCCTGCTCAAAGCTGAGCTGCTCGCCGAGGCTGGATTCCCCTTGCAGCCTCTGGGGATGGTGGGGGTGCCGGGGGGCCACGCGTGGCAAACGTGCAAGGCTGACAGACCCTCTCTTTGCAGACTCCTGCAGAGCAGGCCAAGGCTCGATTGCAGCTGGTGCTGGAGGCGGCGGGTAAGTCTTGCTGTTACAAGTAATGCTGCATTCTTCAACTGTGTTTCTCTTTTATGATATCAGAAAAACGAGGCCTGTCAATAAAGTATTGTTTTCTGTTGGGGACGAGTCAAGCCCCTTTCTCTATCGCTTGCTTCTGTTTCTGGTTAAGCTGAAACTGCTGTGCATCACTGCTGGTGTTGTTGGCTGAATGTCTCTGGAGAAATGAAGCGAGTACTTCGTTGTCTTCACAGGTTTGGCCTCTTGCTGCTACTGCTGAAACTATTCAAAAACTTGGTTTTGTTGTTTTATTTTATAGCAGTGAGCTGAATTGGTGCAGGTAAGTACTTACATTGATTTATTTGAAGTGGTTGCAGAAATAGGTAGTTTTCTCTTTAAAATGCCTATGCTGATGTTTGTAATATTGTTTTTTTGAGTCCTATTTTATTTTCCCCATTAAAAATGTCAATTTTTCACTTAAGAAGGAAAAAATTCATCATTTCAAGCACATTGTAATAAACACGTGTTTGTCTGTAGTTCAGCCTTCATCTCCAGTATGTGCGTTCGTAACTTAAAAACAACAATTCCCACTCCCAGTGTTGGTATTTCCTCCTCAGCAAAGCCTTCTGTTCCAAGGGTTATCTGTCTTCTCACGTTCCTGGATTTTTCTCAGAAATGCATTTACCCTTCTGTATTGTAGCTCCAAATGCATTCGTTGTTCTCCGTAACTTTTAATAAATCTCTGAAGCACGCGATGATAAAGTGGTTGTGACAGCACTGACCTAAAAAAGCGCCATTTGTTTGTGCTGCTCACATCTGTCACACCTCATTTTTTAATTTAACACCTGGAAGTGTACAGAAGATCCCCACGAGCTGTAGATCACTGTGATTTGGGTCCCAGAAATATCCAGAAACGTATGAAAGGCCGATGACATTTTGTGATTTAAATATTCACCGTTGAAGTCGGAAATGTGGATCGGAGCTGCAAACTGTTGATAAAGAATTCAGGAGAGTTAATCTATTTCTCTTATAGAAAATACAGGAAGAAATTATTTCCCATCTTTATTTAGGTGTTGGGAATCTTTTACTTCTGAGCTCGTCCCCTGTCCTTCTCCCAGTCCCACGCTCAGTCAGTTACACTGAGTCTTTCTTAAGGTGGTTTAAGAGGAGTGTTGGGTTTGTTAATGCTGTTGTTTCAATGTTCTGTGTCTGTTCATTGCAAAACCAGCACTCTTCAGCTTTCACAAAGTAAGTGTTAGAGCATTACTGAGCAGCTACACGTCTTCAGTTGGCTTTTCAAGGAGCTCAAAATCAGGTGGTTCATTGTTGCTGTTGTGGCATGGGCTGAAAATACCTGTTAATTTTAATCTGTGTGTTAGCAGTGATGAACAAAGCTGTTCTTTGTATACGTGGTGTTCAGTGCAGCGTCCATCCCAGAGTTGTGCATTCACTTGTGAATGTCTGCCTGCCTCGTGGTGGGAATTGCTCTGCTCCTGCTAGGTGGGGAGAAAGCTGTGCTGTATTCAGAATGTATTGCTGCATTTTGGTGACTGTTAGTACACAGGTGTCTGAACAAACAAGTCTTAACTCTGCTGTGGTTCAAAATTACCAGCAAGCGTAGGAGAGGACTTTGGGAAGGTCCCTTCCCTGTTCATCTCTGCTGCTGTGCTCCACTTACATTGGCATCTTCCCTTTCTGTGCCATTTCCATGCCAGACAGTAATCTGACATTTCCTTTTATCTTTGTATAGAAATACATTTGCCCATTTCCTTCTGAAGATTTCCATATTGTTCTGTACTTAAAAGGAATTATCCTAGAAGAAAATTTACTTTGCTTGCTTAGCAAATTTTTTGATTCTTAACATGTTAGAAATACCTTTGGATGAATATAACACAGATAACAGAGAACTGTCCATAAGCTATGTGAGGTTACAAAGTATATTAAACATTAATGTGGATGAATAGAAGCTTGTTTGTCTGTAAAGTATTTGTGAAATGTTTGTTGTAAGAGCAGACAAACTTTAAGTTCAAACTGAAACTGCTGATCTCTTGGTACTACCAGTATTTAAGCTGATGATCTGCTCTTCATTGTAGCCCTGTGAAATATAGAGTTTTATTTATTTATTTTACTATCTAGGTTTACCTTTTGCTTAACCCATCAAGTAGTCTAAATTCTAACACATCCTTTACCAATGCTGCTGTTGCAGATTAAATATAGTAGCAAAAAAGGGGAGGCTGGGACGTGCCTGCTGCGTGCTGGTGGAGAAGCCAAGTTACAGTTCTGTTGTGCTTGTGGTCTGAGGAAAGGAACTGCTAGCAGCATTGCTTAAGTTGGTCAGGTACAATCCTTCATCTTCCATTACTGTTTACTCCGGGACTTCCCTCGATTCCTAAAACACAAACCAAACATCAGGGGAAACTGTTTTGGTGTTTTCTTCAACTTGGATGTAGGAAGAAATACGTATTTGTGTGCAGCCAGCTTTTGTGTCACTGGAGTTCAGAACGTGCCAGGATGTTTTGTTCAAACATGACAGCAGGAGCTCCTTGCTCGTCTCCAAGCACAGAAGGGTTTGGTCCGTGAGCCGGTTGCACTCTGTGTTAAGCCCATGCAGCAGCTCACCTTGTCTTCATGCCAGGTAGACAGGAGATGCTTTGGAGGTGTGATTCCAAATGGAAGCTGGGTGCAGAACTTCAGATGTTCTGTGACTTGCTTTGTTTCTTGTCATGCTTCTGGGAAGTATTTGCACGTCAGAAGCAGTCAGGGCTGTCTTCTCAATCTGAAGATGTCTGTGTACACGATTTTTTGCTTCTCGTTGACCAGTTGATGTGTAAATTATTTGGCTTTACTCTTATGGCTTTAAGCAAGGGAAAGAACATGATAACACACGAGTAATGTTAGGGATTTTTAATGTAGGTTTTGAAAGTGCTTGGCATGCCAACTTTTCCATGGCCTGTTCTCATGCAATGGCCGCGGCTTCAGGAAATTAGTGTTATGTCATTGTGTTCCATTCATTCTTTACTGCTCACTTCATCACCAGAGATGCTCGATTTTGGGGAAGGTGGGTGTCCAGCGGCCTCCTCATCTGGCACAGCCCTGTTGGGGGTTGCAGGTGTGAGCTGTAAAGCTGCTTTTAGAGTCTTTGCCATTCATTTGGGATATATTTGCTGATTCCTCTGGAACAAAAGAAAGCAAGTAGTAAAGCAGCCACTGTTTTCAGTGGGCTTCTGGCTTTTTGCTGTTGCTCTTTGGGAGATCAGAATTACGGCTTCTGGTCTCTGCAGGAAGGCTGGGAGAGCACGGTGCATTCACCTGGTGAGGGGCGGAGGGGAAGGTGGTCATAGCGTGCCAGGGTGAAGTGTTGATGCCAGAAGCTTTGCCTCTGCCCTTCATTTCGTGGTGGTGACCCCACCGCACACTTTGTTAAATACTGCTGCTCTTTGTGAGCACAGATTAATTTCAGTATCTGTGCTCTCATTAAGGAGCGCAACACTTGAGATGTGAAGCACTCCTCTCTAATTCTTGGGGTAACTGGGTTTTGATTTACGAAAACTGCTGTGGGTCTCACGTGCACGCTTGTATTTGCAGGGCTTTATTCCGTTATCCTCCTTAGTATTTAGGCACACGGAGGCCTTTTTAGGGCGCTCTGATGGTGCTGCAGCAGCTCGCCACGTTCGAGCAGATGTTAAGCAGGCAATAGTTGAATGTTAATTTTGGGAGGGTGGGATGTTTAAGCCTATCTGAAGCATGTTGCATGTGGGCCTTCCAGACTTAGCTACAATGCTTTGTCTCTTGGGAGAATTTTAAAGCTAAACCTCTTTCTTTTTGTCGCTCTATATGGACTCTCTCAAGTCAGTATAAAGCAGATCATCCCTAGGCTAAAGCTCTTCAGCTTTTGTTATTGGGCTCTGTAGGCCTGTAATTAGGCCTCCTGGCAGGCCTTGCAGGCCAGTTAATGGTCATATGGAGTTTCTATGAGGCAGCCTGGCTTAGCGCAAATCCTTCGCGGGAATACGTTTATGGGTCACTTCCTACCAGGACCGGGCTTTGTGCGCCTGCCCCCGGGCTGACAGGAGCAGGTTCCCTTGACCATGGCCAGCTCGCTTCGCGCCGCACAATCTCCCACTAATCCCCAGTGTAAACAGAGGATTTAGCAGAGCTTCTGTCACTTACAGTTGCCAAACCACTTGGGTGTCTGTGATTCCTTTCCCAGCCTTCATTACCGAGGAGCACAGGAGATTTGAGCTCGGTTTGCTATTAAGCATTTGCTCGTATTGCAAATGCTGAGGAAAAAGTTTCCCGTGCGCTGCATCCTGCTTGGCTAAAAGTGATAAGAATGATAGGGAGCCTTGGAAGGCAGCGGATTTGTGCCGTTAATTGCTGCGTGGCAGCCGCGTTTCCTCGTTAAATGAAAGCGTGGACAAATATCCCTAAATGGGAATGTGTTGATGTGAGTTGGACCTTGCCGACCATCCATCCTAGCAAAGTAGCCTGAAAAATTTTCCAAGCGGAGGTTTCGTATTGTCCTTATAAAGGCGATTACAAAAGGCAATTGATCTGGATTTTCAAAGGTCCAGAGTTGAAATAAGTGACTGATCTATTTTTGGAATCTGCATTTCAATCTGTGGCTGAAAGAGCATTCGAGAATAGGGCATTTCTGTGCAAGGAATTCTTGATGGAGTTTATTTAAAGGCAACTGGAGAGCGGAGGCCCTGATATGACGTTAGCGAGGTGCGGGAGAAATTAATGAATAGAAATAAGCGTCCACCATTTATCAGATCTGTTTGGCAGCAGTTCTGGGTATCAGCTATTTTACTCATTATCTTTTGAATTATGCTATCAGATTGTTCCCTTTAATTTTGTACCATGCATCTTTATTACAGTTCACGTAGTCCTTGCGGAGAAAATAATGGAATAGAAGCACTTTGTCTTTAGCCGTGTAAGAATGCGGGTGTTTTATAATACTTGTGTTTCTTTATCTCCCCACTATAATACGTTTTATTAGAGAGAAAAATCCTCATTTG